AAGTCAGATTTGGGCGTTCTTTTTATCGAACTTCTCGGTTTAACGAATACTACGAATTTCGTTTAGATTACTAAGGCTAAAAAGTATTTTATCAAAAACTCACTATTTACGACATTCGGTACCATGCCGGTTTTGTCGCAAAACTTCGACCCGTCATAACTTCTTCGTTATAACTCGGATTTCGCCATTCTTTATATCCCCGAAATCCTTGTTTCGATCACTACAACTTTATGTATAGATATCGGGCTTATCTCACACTTTAATTTTGACGCTTATTTTTATTTTTATTTAATTAAACCCTAATAATTAAGCATAAAACACATAATTCACATAAAATTCACATAATTCCTTTTCATTTCTTCTAAATGAGTTACAAAGGTAAACCTAGACCATTATGTCAATATTAATGCCTAGCCTAGAAACACGGGCGTTATAGTGAACCCGTTTACAGTGGGTGCCAGGTGGCCCCCACCACCGACCATACCCCCAGCCATATATATATGGGATCCCCACCTTCATTTGAACCTGCATGGCCGAAAACACTCTCGTTCTCTCTATCTCTCTCTCCCTCTCTCTCTCTATCTCTATCTCTCTTTCTACCTCTCGACCGTAAACTCCAAAACACCCTCAATTCTCCCGAAAATCATCAGGAATCACTTCTAGAGGTTGTTTACGACCGTAAATCTCCTTCAAGGTCATAAGCCCCTTTCATAGCGTAAACCCCCTTCACGGCCGCAAACCCTCCCTATGTGGTGAATCAGACTGGAAACCCCTTTTTCCTCGATTCATTCAAGTCTCGGTAACATTCCTTAACTGAAAGCAAGTGTCTTTCTAACACTTTATATAACAAAATTGCTAATTTAGATACATATATGTATTTAATTATTATTAGGATTCCATTAAGTGCCACATATAACAACTCGGGGGTCTTCATTTCCAGTTCGTTGATTCGATGCTTAATCGAAAATCTGTGGTAAAACCGGCAAAACACGGTTCAGTGTAAAAAGCGAATTTTCAATAAAAGGATTTTTAGCCTTAACAATGTAAATGAAAGTTGTTGAATATGTTAAACCGAGAACGTTCATAAAAAGAACGTTAAAATCTAACTTCGTATGAGTAAGTTATGATTTTTCGAAGTTTCGGTTTAGCAGTAGACAACTAAAAATTTGAAATATAAATCGATCGATATTTACCTGACACAACTTAAATGAGAATCGAAGGTCTCGTTAAAAGTAGCACAATGGTAAAAAGACAGACGAAAACGGACGTCGGATGAAGAAGTTATGAATTTTTAACGGATTCCCGTCGCGGTCTGTTTAAAATAATAATATTAAAAATAAAGTAAAAATGAGCCGACAAAGTCTAAACGAAAGTCGTAGAGTATGACTTTACCTACGCGTGCATATAAAGAACGTCAAATACGGAGCTAGCATGCGAAAGTTATGATTTTCACAAGTTTTAGGCACAAAAATCAAGAAAAATGGAAAACCGGGCAATTTCGCATGCAAGGCTTCGGACACGTCATCATCACGTGCAAACCTCCACGTGTCACCTGCTGATAGGACCGAACCTTGCGTGGCACCTTCTGATTGGACTGCTACCGTGGTCCACTAAGAAGCCGACAAAACTCGCAAGAGACACCCTAGAGATGCTTCTCGGACACCCCCTCGCATCGTAGCATTCTCCTATTGGACCAAAGTTTGGTCAAATCCGAAGCCCCCACCTGTCTAAACTGTAGCCACCGCCTTGCCACCGGGTCTGAGCCTCACACGTGTACACTCCGTATGTCCGACGCGTGTCTTGCTGACTCCTCGTCCTGGCTAGGTGGCTGCTAACTCACGTACTCAGACCGCACCCTCGCACCCCTATATAAAGGGTGCGAGACTCCTCAGCTAAGAAGAGTTTTACACCCCAAATTTCCACAAAATTCACATTTTTACCCCCCTCAACTTTCTCACGACCCTCCAAGGCCCCGATATCGTGTCTAAAGCCCGAAGCAAGCCCAGGAGCCCCAAAATTCTCGAGAAGTCATCCTCTCCCCTGTCGAAACTCTGCTCGGTTTGAGCCGTTTTTTCGTCAAACAAACTCTTTTCCGGGAAATGAAACGCTGCCCGAATCACCGTGTCACACCCCGAAAACCAAAGGCGGAAATGTTCCCGGGATTGACTCCACGTTGAGTATCAAATCCAATGTACATAGTAATCACAGTAAACAACCATTACATTACATATATATGAAAGTTTACATTTGGTTCAAAAGTAAATTGTACAAAAGTTATACATATATCATATAATCAAAAGTAGAGACGAGTCTTCTGAGCACTCCATCTTCACCAAAATATATCGCCGGGTACCTGTCTAACTTGGGCCTGAGAATACAAGCAGTTTGAAAATCAGCATAAAGCTGGTGAGTTCATAAGCGGTTTTGTTTTGTGAAAATGTATCGATTTCCTTTAGTTTTCCGAAAAGGTTTGTTATTCAAGAAAATCCCATATTTTCTTATTTTAATTAGTTCCGTTAACTTTCATTACAGTTCAGTTATGTGATATACGTTAACCGCAGGAAAATCCCATATTTTCCTAAATACAAGATTGATTAAATGACATAGAGTATAGTTTAATATACAAAACTATAATTTAGACGAATTGTAGATAGAAAGTATTTTGAAAACCTTGGGACTAACATCCCGAACCAGTTATAAGATAATTCGATAAAGACCATGGGATCACTATCCCGAAACTAGATATATGATAGATTGATAAAATCATGGGATTATCATCCCGTATAAGATTTAGTTTCAAAACCATGGGATTACCATCCCGAACGAGATATAGACACAAGATCATGGGATTATCATCCCGAACGAGTTATAGACATAAAACCATGGGATTTCCATCCCGAACGAGATATAGATACAAGACCATGGGATTATTATCCCGAACAAGATATAGATACAAAACAAAATCATAGCTGTGAATAAATTTATATTAATACATATTGTGAGTCGGGTAACCATGCTGATACGACAACGAGACCTCCTTGACGTTAGTCAGACGTCGGACGATATACAGAATTTGTCACCCCAGGCGTGCCCGCCTAACTGTAGCTAGCAGTTAAGGTGTGGGATTGTCAGTCCCGAATAGATCTATTCACAAACTCCTCGCTCGCCCTCCAGGAGACTCTGGTTACACTTTCGGAGAGGATTTACTTATCATCCATAAAGGGGAGTGACTATCTCACAAGCTAGTATTAAACTATTCATAGAATTCTCATACGATATCAAACATACAAAGATTATAAAACATGATATAATGAAAATAGATACATACAATGAGATTATCTGACAATATATTCAAATAATACAGAGATAAACTAAATCAGACATAGTTTATCTAATAACTTTATATAGATATAATACAAGCGTTATAGAACCCCAAATTATTCCCATAATAATTTGATTAGTTTGGTTATTTTCTTAACTAAAATCCATTTAGTTGTAATTGATAAATCATTCCTTATGCTCAACATAATACATAAGGAGTAAAAGAGTTTATAAATTTGCCAGATAATATTTGAAACATATTAATGTTATAATTCGAAAACAGTTATAGTTTTGCTTGTATTCCCCCCACTACTAGAAAAATAGCCTTTTACGACGCGCGAACCATGACACGCAGTGATTTATGATACGCAAAGGTGAGTATCTAAAAAATAATGTCATCTCTTCCAAAATTTAAAGGATTTCAGACGCGCATTTTTGCGTGCCCTAAAATTAGTGTCTAAACAAAAAAAAATAAAAACACGGAAGGCACCTGCGTGTCGTCTACGACTGTCGCTTTATAAATTTTAATAGAACGCGCGCGTTCCATCCGGGGAAAATGAAATCCCAATAACTTAAAATCCCCGCCTTCCTAATTTTTTTCTCCCTCCACTTTAATTTCCCTAGTAGCTAGGGCTTTTTTCAAGAACTTGCCCCGATTATGCCCTCCTGTACTGCTCGTTCTCTCTTCAACTTCCCTTTCTCTCCTTCTCACTTTGACAAAACCTTTCTCTTCTTCTCAGTTCTCGACGTCGACAGCTTCTCCCACCTCCGACGTTTCTCTTGGTGTTGGCGCCTCGCACCTCTAACCTCCGACTAGCCCCGCCCCACCGTCCAGGATCCAACATCCTCCGCTTCATAACCTCCTCCAGAAGATTCTAATCTTCCAATGAGATCTGAACATGTTGAATCTTTCCACTGTTTTTCAATCGAGATGGATCTACGACAACGCCATTTTTACTCGTTAGAGGTGGAGATCGAGCAGGAACTTATTTCAGAACCTTGTCTCTGAATCTCACGAGGCTTATTAAACGATGAAGCCAGATGATTCTCTCACTCTCAGGTTACAAAAGTTCTTGATCCTCCTAATTTTCTTCTTTCTGAAAATCTCAACTGTTGAAGTGAAGTTTTCTATCAGTAGCACCATACTATTTAGTGTTTCTGTGTTTAGTTTTAACTGATACCAAAAATTGAAAGATAAGAGATTTTTATGCCATTTGGTTTGGCGATTTAAGGAATGACTATAGGAATTGAAACTTGATTTGAGCTTCAATATTTGAATTGGACATCTTATTTTCTTTAGGCGAGCTTAATTTTTGGATTCATTGATGCGACAAAGGAAGAAGAATGGTGATGTTTTGGTGTCGGACTAAACAATCACAGCTCAGAAGCCCTAAAACCAATACAAGTAATCAATTATCTACTTCAATCTTTTTTCTAATCATTTGTTGATTGATTTCTTTTTCTAATAAATCATATTTGTTAATGCAGAGCTACCCAATAATACCTTCGTTTTTCTCGATTCTCATTCAGAGGTTGCACTTGCACTCTTTTTCTACAAAAAATGAATTTATATTGTAGGATTAGAGAAATATTTATATAATTTTATTGTTTTTTCCTTTTCCTTTTCCTTTTCTTTTTCTTTTCCATTTATATTTATTTACAACATTGGTGGATTTTCCATGAAAGGTGGAAGAACTGCCAGAAGGGTATTTGAGTTTGGAAGAACATATGTGGTGAAACCTAAAGGAAAACACCAAGCAACCATTGTATGGTTACATGGCCTTGGTGATAATGGTTCAAGGTAACTCTAATTTCAATTTCATCATTTCATTTTCCTTCTCTAATTGGCTATATTATATATTATCATTCCCAAATTAACCCTTATTTGAAATCCATATATTTATATTCTTCTGGCAGTTGGTCCCAGCTCTTGGAGACTCTTCCTCTTCCAAATGTAAGCAAACAATTATCATTCAGTCTTTTACATATAAATGATAATTATAATTTATAAATTAAAAACTTGATTATTTAATGTTTTTTTTTTGTTTTTTAGATCAAATGGATATGCCCTACTTCACCTTCTCAACCATTAACCTTATTCGGCGGCTTTCCTACAACTGCATGTATGATTTAAATTTTGAAAACACTATTTTTTTTTATTATCATAATGTGAAATTGTATCCCTAAGGGTAAATATGTAAAATGTAATTATGTATGATGGATTTTAGGGTTTGATGTAAGTGACCTATCTGAAGATGCACATCAAGATGTAGAATCAATGGATGCTTCTGCAGCACATGTATTGAGTCTCTTATCTACTGAGCCTCCTAATAGTAAGTTTCAAAATTAATTTACTTTTATCTACTTTGGATAAATTCAAGAAATGTTTGACTTCTTTTTGTAGTCAAACTTGGTGTAGGAGGGTTTAGTATGGGAGCAGCAACTGCTCTATATTCTGCAACATGTTTTTCACATGGAAAATTTGGAAATGGAAACTCATACTCTACTCATTTGGATGCAATTGTTGGCCTTAGTGGTTGGCTTCCATGTGCAAAGTTTGACTCTCTTCACCATTTTACCTTTTTACCCCTCTTACTTAAACCACATTGCTATTTTTAATAACAATTTATCTTTAAAAAAATATCTCTAGGGATCTGAGTAACAAGGTGGAAGGGGAGGAAGCTGCAAATCGTGCTTCATCCTTGCCTATTTTACTTTGTCATGGAAAAGGTAAATATTTTAAAAACTTGATTATTTAGTGTTTCTGTGCGTCTCCCCTGTCATTTAAGGGACTCACTGCTTCATGAAATAGAACTCGGCATTCTTAAGGTTTTAGAAAATAAAGAGATCGAGAAAATGATTCTCTCAGATATTTTCTGCAGATGTGCTTTTTTGTCAAATTTCCTATATGGTTCGTATGTTACAAGGTATTTTTATTCTCTAATCTTGGTGATTTTTATTTAAAATATAAAAGGAAATTTTACCAAATCATTTTGTTGCATTAGGTTGAAAGAAGAAAAATTTCTTTCTTCTCCAAAGTTGGTTAGTACATGTTAGAAATGCTGAGTCATGTTGTTTCAGTGATTGAAAACGTTCCAGTGATATTTTTATTTAAAATATAAAAGGAAATTTTACCAAATCATTTACTTTATATTCTTTATTATTGCTTGCAGTGAATGTGTTGGAATTGGAATTGGCTAGCATATTTGGCGGATTGTTGGTGATTAGTCATAATGTAAGTAATAAGTTGCATATTAGTGTATATGTATGTATTTTGCTTTGATGTTGTTTGTTTACAATTACAGCTTTGGGACCTGAGAAACGAAGGCAGATGATCTTCTTCCTCAGAAGAGGATCGATACCAACAACTTTTGGGGCGAAGAGAGGATTTCCCGCTTCACATGTTGGTTTCTCTGTTATCGTACCTGGTGTTTGGGTTCCTTCCACCGGTTGTATCTGGGTTTTCATTCCGTGAGAGCAACGACAAAATCAGGGCTACCTCCTAAACATGTTGAAAATCAGGGCTACCTCCTAAACATGTTGAGAGGTATTAATGACCCCCTCAATTTATAATCAAATCAAGATTCTTTTGAATCATAGTGTGACTTGAGTTGTGTTTTAATTTATGTTTATCATTTAGGTTTGTATTTGCAGTTCAAGTTTTCGTGATTCTCACTAATGTTTCAGGAATTTGCCAAACACTGATGGTATAGAACCCTTTAATCTTGAATTTTCTCTTGTGTAGTAAGATTTATATGAACATTAAAGTTACATGTTTTGTGCCAAATTTTGAAGTTGAATAGCATTCCTGAAAGATATTGTTATAAAGAAGAGGGAAAAATGCTTCAATCAAGTAAATGTATTCCTGAACAGTTAATCTTTGTCATTAAACTGTAGGTAGACTCGTTTGCTTACCTACCTCCTAACTCAAAGCATCACTTTAAGAGTTATGAATCTTCTACACTTGTTGTATTTGAAAAAAGGTATGTTATTCCTTCTCTTTATTTCATCTGCATCTATGTGTGTTATCAATTAACCACAAGGGCTAAAAAGTAATTTAACTTTTGTGTAGGTATGCTTACCTAGAAGATCATATTCCCGAGCCAATTGTTGGCTCCACCAATTAGCAACCACTTCTTGATACCCCTGGAGACGTATGTACTTTTTTAACAATCAACCTAGTAGAATAAGAGTCCACTTTTTTACTATTAATTTTTTTACTGTTTCCATATTAGGTATTCCATATTAATTTTTTTAACAATCAACCTAGAATAAGACATCACTGCCCTTTTGAGTCTCAAGAAAATGCAAAAACCTGCAGTGACACTGTTACCTTTTGGTTTACCAATCCAATCTACATGTCACATTCCTTAGTAACTGATTCACTAGGATCCATCAAAGGCTCTATCTTTCTGCTGAAGAGAATCATCCCCTTTGATTACTGATAAATTGATGGTCATTCATATTTTCTTTATCTATCCCCTCAAAATGAAATGTATCTCAATTATTGCAGTTTCAAACTGAGAAGAAGCATTCAGATTGTCTGGATGTCTTAAGCGAGACACATAACAGAGCCTCATATCAAAAGATCCAGATTGGTGCTGATCCGGGTGATGGTTACACAAACCACATTTTTAGAGGCTAGATGCAAGTAGTCTCTCTCTTTCTCTATCTCCTTTTTTTTTAAATAAATTTGGTTCTCATTGTTGTCTTCCGAATAGCTTTTATTAATCCTTGTAGCTAATTAAACATTAAATTAATTATGCAGGTTTTGAAGTTTTTGATGGAAAAGAATAGTGTTAATGCTCTTCATAGAAAAGTATGTTGGTATTTTTGGAAATTTGGCTAATAATTTAGTTAATTATATAAAAAATATTGAAATCTTACATTTGTCTACTATTGGAATGATTATTTGTAGTATTACATTTGTCTACTATTCGAATGATTATTTGTATAACATTAACTTTTGTGTAATGCATTGTATTATTTGTATATGGTATTTTATTTTCCATTATGTGACATAAAATGCAAATTTAATATGAAAATAAGTAAATCCATAAATAATTTATTTTTTTAAATTTAAAATTACGATACGCAAAAATGTGTGTCATCTTCATTTATGACATGGCCTTTCTTGACAAGGGCTTTCTTGATACGCATTGCGTGTCATTAACACGCGCGTCGTAAGGTTACGACACGCGAATGCGTGTCGTCTTCCTTTATGACAGGGCCTTCCTTGATACGCATTGCGTGTCGTAACCGCGCGTCGTAAATGCGCGTCGTAAATGCGCGTCGTCTGTAGACGACGCGCAAAAGCGCGTCGTCTCTCTTTATGACAGGGCCTTCCTTGACACGCATTTGCGCGTCGTCTGAGCGTTTTACGACGCGCAATGAGCGTCGTAAAAGGCCTTTTTCTAGTAGTGCCCCCTGAAAACATTGAAAAACACGGAAAAAGGCGTAGGGGTATGAACTCATCGGACGAGAAATGTGTCGATTTGGACGCTAAGAGTTGATCCGGGACTTGTAAATACACGAGGTTCCTAATTATAATGTAAAGATACACATTTGTATCTAATTAGGACTTAGTTTATTTATATGTTAGGGACACTTGCTTCAAGTCGCAAAAACACTCCGATACAAGTGTTTGGAGGGACCCGGGTGGAGTTTAAGGATGTGAAATGACACTAGGGACTTGGGACTTGAGTTTACTCCCCATGAGTAAACTAATATAAGAGTTTTTGGTCTAAAACACCCATTCCCCATGAGTTTACGGCCGTAAACTCATGGTGGGTGTGGTTTATGGTGCTAAATGACTTCTAACACTTAGGGGATAATTTCTAGACTTGGTTTAAGGACTTGAAATGATTTTAAAACATAAAATAGACCCACTTATGGGAGTTTATGGCCTAGCATGGCTCCATGGCCGTAAACTCCTATTTTTCCAAGAAAATGGTGTTAAATGGTTCCAAAACAAATCACATGTGATTAATAGAATTATTCCAAGGCCTAACATGAGTTTGCAAGGGACATTTGAGGGTTTTATGGAGTTTACGGCCCATGAGACCCCCCTCATGGCCGTAAACTCTTCTATAGAGTGCTACAAGGTGTTTCAAGGTCTAAAACTTGCATAGAAGGGCTTCTAAAATTCATCTAAATGCTTTAGGGGTGTTTAGTTAGCATTCTAACACCATGAATCATGGAGTTTACGGCCCAAGAACAAGCCTTGGCCGTAAACTCTTAAAAATCCCACAAATAGTGTGTTTAAGGCCCTTAAACTATTTTTGGTTGGTCCTATGATTTATTCCAAGGCTTTTGGTGGTGTTGGATGGCTTTCTAACACTTTAGAATTGAATTTATGCCATGTTTTGAGGAGTTTACGGCCCAAGCACATGCCTTGGCCGTAAACTCACCTAAATCCCCCAAAATTCATGTTTCAAGTGTCCAAATGCTAAAACCAATGTTCTATAATTCATATCTAAGCCATACTAGTGATTTGGAAGGGTTTAAGGGCATGAAAAACCCCATTTACATGAGTTTACGGCCCAAGCTTATGCCTTGGCCGTAAACTCCTTCAAATGACTCAAAATCAAAGTTTTAAATGTTCTAAGGCCATATCTTGAAGTCCCTTAGCCATATCTAAAGTCCAAATGAGTTTAGGAAGGAGTTTAAGGGCTAAAAACCCTTCAAATTGGTGTTTACAGCCTAGGCAGCCTCCTGGGCCATAAACTCACATATGACGTCCTATTTCATGATTAAATGTCAAATTTGGAAGCCAAATATGCTATAGATTAGGGCTAGGAAGGTACCTTAGGGATTTGAAGCCTTAAAATTGAGTTTTGGACCCTTAAACTTTGGATTTAGGAGAGAGGTTAGAGAGAGAGTAGAGAGAGAAGGAAAAAGCTTCAAATGAGAGTTTAAACACGTTTATATAGTTCCTAAAACTTGGACACGGTGGAATTCTACCCGATGCCGGCCTTAAACGAAGCTTTAGGTCGTACCCGATTGAGTTTCCGTCACCCGACGAGGATATTTCTAAAACTTATGAAATAAATGTTTTGGGCTAAATTCATGAGTTCCTAAATGATTTGGACCCTCATTGAATGATAATAAACATATAATTTTAGTTAACTAAACCCAAAAACGATATCGGGACATTTCGATCTCCGACGAGTTATACGGGTAGAATGGGTTTTCGGCGATGAACAACTTTGGGTTGTTACATTATCCCCCCATTAGAGGGAATTTCGTCCCGAAATTCAAAGAATAAGATACAGGTCATGGATTGGAATGAAACATGAATGGATTTGTTGCTTCAGATCTTCACTTTCTCAAGTGGAATTAGATCTCTAATGGGCGTTTTAACGGATTCTCATTATCGAGACGTGTCCTTGTCTTGCACATTGACTCTCTCTCAATCTATGATATCAATCTGTTTTCTCATTGAAGTTCCAACCCTGAACGACTTCGGTTTCCTCCAAGGAATCACTAGGGTTTCGTTGGGCAGACGTTTCTAAGGATTCGAGATGTGATGGTCTAGATAGATATTACCAAGCTCTAAGGGCATCCGAAACCTGAAGGTTGCAGAATTGATCTCTACGAAAATCTCGAAGGGTCTGATGGGAGACTAAACTAGACGTTCGAAAGAAACTCTTGGGGCTAAGTCGCTAGTGCATTCATTCTCACTGGTAACCATATTGACGGAAAATGTTTCAATTAATAGACGAGGACTATATTTACGAAGGTATTTGAATGAATGACTAATAAAACTTTCTTAACACTAAATTCGAAAAGAATACGAACATATGAATTGTCAAGAAAAATATACCCGCGGCAGTGGGATTAGTGGCTGTTTTCTCTTACTTCATAGCTAAAACCATCTTGGCATTGTTGATGTTGTTGGTGGCTGCTGCTTTTGGGCAGTTTCGCTTGAAATGCCCGATTTCTCCACAACCATAGCAGGCCTGTCCAGTACTTGATCCAGAAGCTTGATGGATTAGATGAACTGGTGTTTTGCAATTTTGAGCAGAGTGGCCCTTTTTGCCACATCTTTTGCAGATCCTTTTGAAACACGGGCCAGGGGTATAATGGTGATATTTGCACTTGATGCACCAAGGGAGATTACCCGCATACCCAGTGGTAGGTGCTTGAGCTATAGGCATAGCAACAGGAGTAGCAGCAGCTTGAACTGTAGGCACAACGACAGGAGTAGTGACAGCTTGAACTGCCACAGTTTCACGCCTCTTGGAGGGTCCTTGGGAACTCTGACCATTTCGCTTTTTACTCTTATCGTTTTCATTTTGATGCTCCTGAACATTTCTATGGTTTTTGGGGTAGGGGTTATATCCTGGACCAATGGACATGTTAGAGTTCAAGATCGTCATTGCAGTCATCACTGCAGTAGAGACAACCAGCTGGAGCATCACAGGGTCGAAGCGAGATGAGGGTGGTGACGGAGGGCTGTTGTTACTTGAATTGGATCCTTTCTTTGAAGACATTTCGATCTAAAGCGATTAGGAAAAAGAGGATGGTAAGTCCCCTACATTAAATCAAGAGATATGAAACAAAGGATATCTCTTTAAGACAAAAATAAAATTCTATTAAGCGATGAAGCAAGAATGAATTATCAGGGTAGATAAGTTATCGCTAAAGGAATGATCGAGGAATAACGCGTATACAAGGATTTTTACAAAGGATCGGTTCGAGAAATAATCCCATAGTATTTCATGGTTCGCTGCAGCGACGATTTCGTTGTTTGGGATATTGGGTAAGTTTTAGGTATGCCGCATACCGCAGTCACTCCCAAGCACATGTTGGCCGTGTCTCGAATGAATATAGTTGGCCAGGCTATATTGACCCTAGACACGACTACATAACTGCCCAGGTTTAACCGCAGTGTACAACACCCATTTACTTATGTTTTGTTCTACTTATAGTTACGGATTTCGACGGCTCGGCATACTTAAATACTTTTGAAAAATACTTATATTTTGTAGGATACTTTTAGTTCAGAGCACTTAGGCCCCTTAATGTTTATAGTTTTATACCATGTAAGGTTTGGTATACTTTGTTCACTATAAACAAGGGCTCTGATACCAATCTGTCACACCCCGAAAACCAAAGGCGTAAACGTTCCTGGGGTTG